AGAGTGCAGAAATCATAGCTATGAACATTCAGGCTGTGTGTATCTTAAGAATGTATTGTCAAGACAATAGCTAAAAAACAGCAATTGCTAGATGGTGCCAAAAACAGTGCAACAAATAGGGCTTGTGTTTTTGTGGATTTTGCTACAGCTAGATATACATATAGTATATACATATAGTGAATGCTTTGCAGCATGGTGTAGCAGTTAAGAGCAGCGGCCTCTAATCTGGAGAACCGGGTTTGATTCCACACTCCTCTTCCACATGAAGCCTGCTGGGTGACCTTGAGCTAGTCACAGTTCTCTCAGAGCTCTCTCAGCCCCACCTACCTCACAGGGTGTCTGTTGTGGGGAGAGGAAGGGAAAGGAGATTGTAAACTACTTTGAGACTTCTTAAGGTAGAAAAAAGTGGGGTATAAAAACCTACTCTCCTTCTTTTTCTAAAAACTATGAGGTGGATTGTTTACACCTATCAATTTACTAACACATTTTTATGAATGCTGAGTATAAAATCCACCGTACAGATAAAAACCATCGTTGACACAGTAGAACAATCCCAGTGCATTCTCAAACAACTGTGTTCTGGAACAACTATGAGTACTTGTAAGGAACTGTAAGGAGAAAAATAGGAATGCCAGTTTCCAGGTGAGACCTAGGGATCCCCTGAGATTACAGCTCACCTCCAGATTACAGAGATCAGTTTGGGAGGATAGACTCTACGGCATTGCACCCTACTGGGGTCCTTGTCCCCCCCAGGCTCCATCTCCAAATCTCCAGGAGTTTCTCAACCTGGATCTGGCAACCTTCCTCCTCCCCCATCCCCTGGCAGTAGCCAGGAGAGTTCTGGCAACCCTAAGAAAGAATAAATTCATCCACGATGGAATTATCTAATTAAGAAGAAGAAGAAGAAGAGATTGGATTTATACCCCACCCTTCACTACCAAAGGTGTCTCAGAGCGGCTTACAAACTCCTTTCCCTTCCCCTCCCCACCACAGACACCCTGTGAGGTGGGTGGGGCTGAGAGAACTCTGACACAAACTGCTCTTTTTTCAAGAACAGCTCTTATCAGAACTACGGCTTGCCCAAGGTCATCCAGTAGAGGAGCGGGGGATCAAACCCGGTTCTCCCAGATTAGAGTCCGCGCACTTAACCACTACACCAAACTGGCTACACCAAACAGTGTGTTTTCGTTACACCTCTATAATTACATAGTGTTAACTTTCCAAATCACAAGTTTGATTAAAAAACTGGAATTTATGGTTCTTCAGCAATGCCCCTATTGCAACCTTGACTGGAATCAATAGCCCCTGTCTTTTCACATTTGTCTTCAGATTTCCTGGTATCTGAGGGGCAGATTTGTCTAATGGATATATGAAGGGCCATTGAGGGTCCTCAATAATTACATTTGGATTTCTGTTTGGGATGCCCAAGTTCGAATCCCCAAACTGGAATGAAAATTGTTAGGTGATGTTGAGCTATGTATGTCACTTTGAGCTTCTTAAAGAAAGGGTAAGATAACCATGAACTAGATAGACTTGTGGGTGCTTTATTATTATGTTAAAGTGATATGCACAGGAGGCAAAACTCTCATTTTTGTGAAGAGAAAGGAGAATCAGCAATAAGAAACAAATTGTTTAAAGTCTATCCTGCTATTAGCTCTAGACGACCAGTCATAATATCTATGACTGTGACAGACAGAGCCAAGTCCACCTCCTTTTTCACATCTGCAAAGCCCCCTTTGTACTCTGCTGCTTTTGTAAGAAAGCCAGCAGAGGCCAATCAGGTCCCTCAAAACACTTGGAGTGAGATGGGAAGGGGAATAGGCGGAGGGAGAAAAGGGCTGTTAACTGGTTTTTGTTCAGAGAGAGTTTCCAGTTCTCTTACCCAAATTAGAGATCTAGTTCTATGTTCAGTCACTTTAGTGGAGACATGACTGTCTAAGTGTGGTAGCCTGCAGTGTCCCACACTGGTATAAGGTTCTCCTGTGCAGTCATTTGGTATATTTGAAAGCTACCTTAGACATCGGAGGAAGATGGTGTCGAGCAATGCTCCCTCTAAGCTGTGGAGTCTTGTGAGCAAAAATTCTACTTTGTGAGCTACCGGCATTAAAGTTGTGAGCGAGTGACTTGGCTACTGCATACATTAGTTTGCTCTGGAGCCATCCCTTCCTGAGCTAAGGCAAAAATGTGTGAGCCGGAGGCTAAACAACTGTGAGCTAGCTCACACTAACTCAGCTTAGAGGGAACACTGGTGTCGAGGTAACATCACTGATTACTAACACTCCGCAAGTGATTGTTCTTACTCCTTCTATCTTATCTGTGGCCCCGGTCACATGGGCCGGATATCGTGGGGGAGGGGGAGGCATGGCTAATTGCCCTGGAGGAAACTAACACGTGGCCGCCCGAGTACACGTCCCGGTCGAGGTACCGTGGTTAGGGGGGAGATGCCAACCAGACGGGTATCCTGCAGCACGGCACAGAAGCCGCGCTGCGCGATCGCACTAGGAATCGCTCCGGAGTTTCTTTGTGCGCATGCGCTGTTGGGCGCTGTTGCGCAACCTGCAGAGACTTGGGAGGGAAAAAAACCCTTGTCTGTTACGAACAGCAGCGGGCACCAGATGCCATGTAAGTCCACCGGAAACGCGATCAGATGCCCGTTCTTGCCCCACAGCTCCTGGAAACCGGCACCTCGGAGGTACTAGTTTTTTACTCCGCATCTTTGGTGGGAAGCCTCGGGTTAGCCACGGGAGTTCTACGCTTCCCAGATGTTGCAGTGTGATCGCGCAGTCCTCAAGTATTATTAAAATCTTATACACTACCATTTTGAGGACAGTGGGCTGTTTGACTCCAAAAACAAATTAGTGCCCATTCCTGCCACCCCCACCCATCACAAAGAGAGGAAAGAGCCAGTGCACATGGTCTCCTGTAAGTATGACATATGATAATCTTCAAATTACTGTAACTGTGGTTAATTTAATTGTGGTTGCCTTCATCTTTGTATGTGGTGTTGCTGTGGCATTTGAAAAATGCTTTAGTCCCTGCATGCAAACCTCTCATCGCACAGAGACAAGAATTATAGGAGGTGTTTAAAATAGCCTTCACAGTCTAGCAGTCTGATCTGTATCAGTCCACAGGCTAGAGTGGAAGCTGAGACAGTGAAAACACTAGGTTTGGAGAGTATCACCTCCATAAAGGCAAGTGCATTTTAAGGCCATATGCAGGCCTACACTAAAAAGACCATAGTGGTTTGAAAGGTCAATTCTATGAAAGGAATGTCTTGGAGCTCCCTTGTTTTCCTGTGTGACCTTTCTTCGGCCTGGTAGACTTATTACACTCCCAGTTCTGCAAACACTGCAAAATTACGGAGGGCTTTCTCCCTACTTCATTCTCTGTCATCTCAAACAACAACAGAGCCAGACTCCTACATTTCTAGGAACATGTTCCAAAAGCACTGATAACAGTACTATAGGCAGAGCTCAGTTCTTCTTCAAATGAGATAGTGTCACATCTGTGGCTCCAAAATTACCCCAATTCAGGGTAGACATTTTGGAACCAGGTTTTTTATATAGTTTTTGTGGTCATTGTTAAATATATGTTTTAATCTTATTTTAATTTTATTTTAATATGTTCTTTAAAAATGGATTCATCCTCACTCTTAGTCATGTCGGGCTAGAAATTTAAATATCTAAAGCACCTGATCAATCCACACATCACAATGTTAAAAGTATCTGAAAAAGTGAGCAGTGACTCACAAAAGCTCATACCCTGCCACTAATTTTGTTAGTCTTTAAGATGCTACTGGACCCTTGCTCTTTTCTGCTGCTACAGACAGACTAATACAGCTACCCATATTGATCTACTGCAAAATACATCATTTGCAAATGGTAGAGAACAGAAAACTAGCTAATCATATCACAGTAAAAAAAAACACAGCCAAAGAGCGACTTTTTAGAGCCGCACCAAAAGAGACATGCGGCGGCTGGATCACACAGATCCCCTGAGCCGCCACGCAGTTGCTCCCCGGCACAATCAGATGCCGGGGAGGAAGCCACCGATGGGAGACCGAGGCAGCCGGCCACTCATGCGTGTGCATGCGCAGTTCAGCCAAGAGCCTTGAATGCTCCTGATGATTGACGCGCCGGCGATCCCACGGCCACGCTTGCTGCGCTTCTCTTTACTTGGGGTTTTTTTTTGCTCTGCAGCACTGGGCCGTAGGGACGGATCAGGGATGGGTGTGCGTCGATTCCCAGATGTTGCGGTGAGATCGCGCCCGTTTGCTGCGCCCCCGATCCGTCCCTCTTCCGGCCCAAAACCTCCCGTGTGACCGGGGCCCCAGTAAAGTATACAATGGCTGCGGTCACACGTAACAGAAGCCACACAAGTGAGACGGAAAACAGCCGGAGTTTCCGGGCGCGATCTCACCAGCACATCTGGGAAGCGTAGCACTCCCGTGGCTCAACCGAGGCTTCCAGCCGAAACTGCGTGGCAAAAAACTAGTACCTTGGAGGTACTAGTTTCCGGAAACTGCGGGGCAAGGGCGGGCGTCTGATCGCGTTTCCGGTGGCATCCGGCGCCTGCCCATGTCACCTTGCAAATAAGGTGGGGTTTTTTTGTCCAGGTCTCTGTGGATGCGCATGCGCACCCAACGGAGCATGCGCATTTGCCATGTACACAATAATAAAAAACAGTTTGCCGCAGCGCGCGCTTCTTCGTTGTGCTGTCCTGTGATCGGCACCTCTCCCTTGCCATGGAACCTCCACGGTACCTCCACAGGACCTCCACAGGAGGTCTGATCACTTAACTGCGCAGTAGTTTGCCCCAGGGCAAACAGCCACGCTTCTCCTCTGCAGTTTCCTGCCCGTGTGACCGGGGCCAATGTATTGTGTTGTTGTCAGCACCCTCTCATAACTGGAATTCTCTTATATTATTTTTACAAAGACAGAGAGATAATCATAGACACTGTCAACATTTCAGTCTATTAAACTAAGTGGAAATGCACTTACCTTCACATGTAACCCCATCCAACATAAGGGCAAACCCAGGTAAGCAAGAGCACATAACTTTCCCTTCCATAACATGACATATGTGCTTGCATGGTCCATTATCTGGAAAACACAACAGTTCAAGATGCATGAATGTTTCAAACCAAAGCAAAAGTCCTTTAAACATCCAAGGCTTTCTTCTCCTAATTATAATCTCTGCCTTTGCACCAGACTGTAAAATGTGAAAACAAACAATCTATTCTCGTAACCTTAATCACTATGTACCACCCTCCTCTTACAGGCAAACACACCTGAGTAATTCATTCCCACTTGTGTGTTTGAAATTACCACCCACAGCTGTGTTGCCTGAACAACTCTAAACAGCTAGCATGAAATAACCTTGAATTCAGAAGCTTGCTTCAAATTACCTCAGGACATTACCCTCTGAGATTCCCTCTACCTCTTTCTTCAGGCTAGTACTGGAGGCAAGTAATGTGTGGATGTGAACTGAAATGAAAACAGCCAAGGAAGCTTTGGAATTTATTTTGGACTTGTAAACAAACTCATGTCTCCAGTTTGCCTATCAAACATACCTTTACATTTATCTTGCTCTACATGTAAAGAATTGTTGGTCACAGGTTGGATGTTCGAGGCTTCTGAAGCAACTGTGGCTGTGTCCGCCAAGGCAGTGTTTTGTCCGTCTTCTTCAAAATCTATACACAATATAGAAGGAAAAAGTATCAGCCTTAGTTAATTCATATTTCTGAACTTTTATACTGAACTACTTTCATAAGGGTACAACCCCCAAGGGTCAAGGAAACTGTGGGAAAGGATATCTGCCATATGCGTTATTGGATTCAGTATAAGGCAATTACTTTTCTTACAATACATTTGAGAAATACTTTCTTGAGATTAGTCTTAAAACCTAAGCTCCCTGAAACTGACAGGTCTAGGTTTGAACTGGGAATAAGAGAACTGCTCTAGTTCTATTTCATTATTGCTAGAGATGTTGCAAACATACCATATATAAAGGTATCAACCAAATGTGAGACAGTAATTCAGCTTGTTAAATTGTACTGAGCACCTAACAAGTAGGTTGGCACTGGGGTTTGGCAAAACTGAGCATGCTGATTCAAACCAGCTGGCAGTCATTAACACCCCTAGGGGCTACTTAGATGAAGGCCAGTCTTATGACTGATTTATATGATTTGTGATGAATGTAATTGTTTATTTAAACAATTGCCTCCTAAGCAGAGCAGTTATGCAGCAAGAATGTGAGGGAAAGAATAGAAATCACATGGGCTGTGTGAAAATGCGCATGCGCAAAAAGCCAGTTGTGCTGTACTGCATGTTTGGGAAGAAATACAGTGAAGGAACCTGCT